ACTTGGTAGCCCAGGCTGGCCTCGAACTCACAGAGATCCGCCTGGCTCTGCCTCCCGAGTGCTGGGATTAAAGGCGTGCGCCACCAACGCCCGGCTCACTTTCACATTTCTTATAGGGATAGAAATTAATTGTTCAGATAAAAAAATTGTGGTCTAGGTGATTTGAGTCTTTTCAATGATACGGGTTCATTTTTGTTTTTTTGCACTAAATCCTGGCTGCCAGAACCAGAGGTCTGTGTTTAACATTAGCACTAGCTGTGACTCCCGCTAGTAAGTGACTCCAGAGTCACTTAGTCCCTTGAGCCTTGTGTCCTTTCTATACCAGAAAAATGAAAACTCAACATGGTGCAGCTAAGTGTGTACTCACTGATAGGGCCCTTGCTGGCATATTTTGAGTTTCGGCCTCTGCACTGTAGAAGATTGAGCAGCCACCTGTGACAGGCTGATGTCCCTAGCTAGAAGATGGGATTTGGGAAAGCACTGTTAGAGACGGCCCTGTGATCCTCATCACCCAGAGGCACCCTGTTTGCAGACCGCCACACTTGTTAAAATGTGTTTGGAATTCCCAGATTGATAATTGCTATGCTTCAGCAGCCATTTGTAAACATGTATAAAACAGTGAACATTTTGTGTCCCTCAGCATGCAGTTCCTAGCTGAAGTCCATTTCAGGTGTGTGTGTGTGTGTGTGTGTGTGTAGTGTGTAGTGTGTAGTGATGCCCGAGTATGAAGGCAGGAGGGGCCCATTCTGTGTCCACAAGGAGCTTTCTGCCTCTCTGCAGCCAGTAGCATAGGGTTCTGACACCTGTAGTGGAGCAGCCTGAGGCTAGTCGCTTGATGCCCATCTGAGTAGATGGCTTAGTTGACCACCAGTGCTTGATGCACAAGCGTGAAGACCTGTGTTCGAACCCCTAGCCCCCACACTGGGCTCACTAGCTTTTATATCTGTAATCCCAGTCCTGGGGAGATGGAGGCAGGAGGTTTGATGGCATTGTTAGGCCACTCAGTTGAGTTGACTAGGTAAGCTCCAGATTCAGTGAGAGGCCCTGTCTCAAAAGATAAGGTAGAGAGCAATTGAATAAGATAAACGATTTCAGCCTGGTGGTGGTGCACGCCTTTAATCCCAGCACTTGGGAGGCAGGGGCAGGTGGATCTCTGTGAGTTCGGGCCACCCTGGTCCACACAGTGAATTCTAGGATAGTCAAGACTGTTACACAGAGAAACCCTGTCTCGGATGGAAAAAAAAAAGATGAATGATTTCAGCCTCTGGCCTCTTACACCATGCACATATTTTCATGTGTGCACACACAGGAACATGTACACACACAAAATAGCTAGGGTGTGCTGTTTTTAGAATTTAAAACTGTGGTCCGTGGGAGAGATATATGTCCACGTTCCTCCTAGGATCAGTGGTTTGACATTCAGTAATTGAGAGTTCTTACCGGCTCTACAGAACAATGAGAACCTTACTGTGCAACATGAAGATCTGTTTGCTGGTGGTTTCCCAGAGGCTAGAGGAGCACCTGGTTTGTAGCAGATGGTATTCTAACCCTTGATGCTGCCTGCCAGCACTCGGAAACCCTGCAGGGCAGCAACTGCTCCATTGCCCGGGAAACCGAGACACGTTGACAAGTAAGCTGACTAGGTCACTAGGGTCCCAGGTGGAGGTGCAGGTGTGTCTGACCCGGAAGTCAGCCTCTGAACTATCAGTTCTCTTAGTATCTTTGGTACAGCTGACTGGATTCATCACTGCAAAGTTTCAGCTTCCTCAAGGAAGGTTGATGTGCCCTGCTAATTAAATGGCAAGTGAAAATGTGTTCTCTTTAGCTTTGGCTAGCTGCTTTCTTTGTGGCAAATTACTCCATTCACTGTGGGTAGGTAGGCTGCTGTTACTGAGCCTTTAATGTAATAGGAGCTTTTTATTGACCATGTTCTTTGACCAGAAAGTGCTAAGTGATGGGTGAGGTTGGCACTATTTTCCCCTTTCACACCCTAAAAAACTGAGTCAGATGACTTGTTGGAGATCCCATGGCTGATAACCAGGTTGAGGGTTTTCATTGGCTTCAGACGTCTGTACCCACTGCGGAGTTGGCACTGGAGGCCGATCAGAGTGGGTAGCGTGGCCCTGACCTCAGGCTGCAGGTTAGTGGTTAGACTCCTCAGTGTGTGCTTTGTTGCCTCTCACTTGTGGTTTGCATTGTTGGGGTTTGGGAGGTTAGTGGGGTTCCGGCCCATTTGGGCACGGAGCCTTTGTCTGCTGTGCAGGCGCTGTCCCGCGAGCTCCCCCAGCCTCTGTGGGTTGTGCTGTGCTGTCTTGCAAGCCCTTTCCTTGACTCACTGGCTGCACTTGTGCTCGTGCACCCTGCTGTGAAGAACTGGATCAAGTACGCCCGATTCGAGGAGAAGCACGCTTACTTTGCCCATGCACGGAAAGTCTACGAGAGAGCAGTGGAGTTCTTTGGAGATGAGCATATGGATGAACACCTGTATGTGGCCTTTGCCAAATTTGAGGAAAATCAGAAAGAAGTAAGTGCATGATGAGTTCATTTCTGTTTTATCCACAGAGAATGTTTTCTGTATTCAAAAACATAATTTCATACAGAACAGTGTGCATGTATTGCTGAGCTATAGATTGGAGCTGAGTGGTTATGTATGCTAACTGTCTTGATTTCATTCTGCTGTGTTTGAAAATTACGCCTTTTAAATAAGAATACCTGGAGTTAGGTGTTGTGGCACACATCTATAATCCCAGCACTCAGAAAATTGAGGATTGACTCTAAGGCTGAGGCAGGTGGAGCTTAGTTTGGAGCCAGCTTAGAATACATACACCTTATCTCAGAAACACAAAAGTACATGTGTAAACTGATGAGTCTTTTGGTATACTGGTTCAAAGGCTTTATAGATAATAAGCTAGGGAGGCAAAGAAGCAGTGCCCTCAACCAGAGGAAACAGTGTGGAGTGGAAACACAGATTGCCCCACAAATAAGCCAGTTCCTTTCTTCCTTAGTATACACAGAAAATAATAGAATTGGAGGGGTCAGATTCCCTCTGAGAGGCAAGGGTTAGAGGGTTTTAAGTGGGACAGTGACTGGATTATAATTATTGATCTTCTGACTAGTTCATGGAGGTATTGTGGAGCAGGGTAGGACACAGCAAGAGTAGAACCAGGGGAGGCCTGAGGATAAAGCTCATTTGGAGAGTGCTTGCGAGCGTGGGTGAAGCTCTGGGTTTGATCATCAGTAAGAAGGAGGCAGGTGATAAAACCAGAGAGTACAACAAGGAGGTTTCTGGAATGTTCTCAGTTAGAAATGGAGGAGGTGGGTCAGCAACAAGGTAGAGGAGAAAAGGCAGTAGTGAAGAAATAAAAATAGCAGCACTTGATGAAAGAATCAGTAAAGGGAAGGAGAACTGGAGAGGAGGAACCAAGGCAGACTTGTGGGGCTTTGGGTGTGAGCAGGTGTGCCGTGGTGGTGGTGCCTGCCTGGGAAGGACCCAAGATGGGTGAGGAGAAAATAGCTCAGTTTTGAGACAGTATTAAATGTGGAACTAAAACTAAGCATTAGTCCTTTCTGATCGAGGCCTCAAATTTTAATTTACAAGTAGTAGGTTATAGTTATTCTCAAGGTGTGGCTAAAATGAGATTATGTTTTAGATGATGATCTTCCTATCTCTTTTTAGTTTGAAAGGGTACGAGTTATCTACAAATATGCCCTGGACAGAATTTCAAAACAAGAGGCCCAAGAACTCTTTAAAAACTATACCATCTTTGAGAAGAAGTTTGGTGACCGGAGGGGTATTGAAGACATCATCGTGAGCAAACGGAGATTCCAGTATGAAGAAGAAGTGAAGGTGGGTGCTACTGAAAATGGCTAGTGTTGTCAGAGCTCGCCAATAAGACTGGGTTGGGGCGAGTGATTACTCTCGTGATGGTGTGTCTGATAGACTAGGCAACTCTTTCACGCAAGGTGGAAAAAATGTGGCGTAAAAAAAAGAGAGTAAGCCATACTTGGATTTGCTATGCCATTCCTTTGTGGGAAGTCCTTTCATTGACAGCAAGCTGAACTAATGTGGGACTGGGCAGGATGGGTCATACCTTTAATCCCAGCATTTGGGAGATAGAGGCAGAAAAATTGTTAGTTTGAGGCCAGCCTAGGTATATCAAGTCCATGCCTCAAAAGATATGTGACATCTATTTGAGCTCATTTTTTGAAAAGGATGGAAAGGTCAGAGATGGATCCAAACACCTGCTTTGCATGAGCAAGAGATCTACGGTAGACAGTTCTGTTCTTATCAGATAGGCCATTTCAGGTTTAGATAGCAGTGTTTTCTCTCATGGTTCTTTTATCTTTTGCTTAGTCAGGTTGAGGTAGCTCCTAACAAAGAACCAAGTTTGGTGTTAAATGAAGTGATAGGTTGGTAAGATGTGTTCATAATAAATTACTGTTTGTTTGAAAAGGTGTTTCCTGATTTAGAGTCGGATATAAACCCATTGTAATTTCATTATCAATATAATGGTATACAGTCACGTGTAAAAAATACATTTATAGAAGCTGGAAGCTGTGTGTAGTGGCTCAAGCCTATAGTCCCAGGACTGGCTAAGGCAAGATAATTATGAGTTCAAGGCCAGCCTAGGCTATGGGGTGAGACCTAGTCTCAGAAACAAAGAAAAAAATGAGATATCATTACCAAGCAGTAGAGGAAAGAGACTTTGCTTCGAGGTGCCAGCCAATGCCCTTTTACAGTCCTGTAGTCTCAGGGATGGTGTTCTAAACATGAGATAATGGGTAAAAACTAAGGGAATAAAAGCTAAAAAAGAGCAAGTTTAGTGTTTCCTTATAGTTCTGACAGCCTGTCAAGTCTAGCTCTTGGTTCTGTTTTGATAGATTAAGCTGTTTTTTCTAGGCTAATCCACACAATTACGACGCATGGTTTGATTACTTGCGCTTGGTGGAAAGTGATGCCGAAGCTGACACTGTGCGGGAAGTCTACGAGAGGGCCATTGCCAACGTGCCGCCCATCCAGGAGAAGAGGCACTGGAAGCGCTACATCTATCTCTGGATCAACTATGCACTCTACGAAGAGCTGGAAGCCAAGGTGAGAGGCTCGACTGTGGGTCAGCCATGAATGGCTTTCTTAACCCTAGTCTCATGGTGGTGGATAGTAACTCATAGTTTCAGTCTTTGAGACAGACTTAGTTTAAATTCTCTTAGGACTCTGTCCACCATGTCCATCGTTGAAACTGTGTGCCTGTTGAGGCATGGTGTGTTGTTTTAAAACCTTGAGGTACACTTAGATAGATCGCATTTAAAACTTGAAACAATGACTAATGAAGCAGTTTAATTACACACAGTTGCCTAGTAATGTGTTTGTCACAAAGAAGGATCATGGCCAGATTGTACATTTTTGCTTTTGATAAAAATCAAGTGGCATTTCCGGGTTATGTATGTGTAAGTTAACAGAGAAAGACTACCCTCTGTTGATCTGAGACCGTAAGGTCTTTCTTTCTGCTGTCAGGCCTTTCTACAAGGACGAATTCAGACTTTGATGGCCACATTTTTATTCTTAAACCAAAGTCTGATAATGAAAGGTAATTATGCCAGGCAGCAGTGGTGCACGCCTGTAATCCCAGCACTCGGGAGGCAGAGCCAGGTGGATCACTGTGAGTTCTCTGTGAGTTCAAGGCCAGCCTGGGCTACCGAGCGAGCTCCAGGACAGGCACCAAAACTACACAGAGAAAGCCTGTCTCAGACACCACCCCCCCCCACCACCACCCCCACCACCCCCACTCCCCCCCCCAAAAAAAAGTAATTGCTATTTTTGATCATAAATGAAATCAATATTTAAAAATAGCTCTTGAGAAATGGAGTGTCTATTTCTACTAGTAGTCATGAAGTTAACTAGTAAAGTAAGTATTAACATAATCTTTAAAAAACTATTTTAATCTTAATACAGGATCCTGAGAGGACAAGACAGGTATATCAAGCGTCTTTGGAACTGATTCCTCACAAAAAGGTACACTTGCTGGATCAAAATCCTCTTTTATTACTTGTAAAATAGTATGTATCAATTGGAAACTTTCAAGTGAGTGGCACCATGAGAATCAAGACAGGTACAGTCTTTGCCTGAGGGAACTTTGCCCTGCTGTCGAGTTCATAGAGCAGCCTGCAGTGTGACAAGTAAGGAATGCAGTGTAGGAATTCAGAGACAGACCGGAAGAAAGGAGACAGAGCACATGCTTAAGAAACTCCAAATGGGCCTTTTGATAATGGAGCATGCTTGTGTGGTTGAACATGTGGCTTCTTTGGAGCTGTTAAAATGTTGCTCTACCACATTTCCCACCAAGAGAAACAAAGTTCTGCTTTAGAAGTGGTGAGTTGTTCTTAGAAATAGGATGCCCTGCCAATTTACAAGCATCCCACAAAACATTCTAAGTAGAGGCTGCCATGCCATGAAGTATATATAATACAGTATCAGTCTAGGTGGTCATGGGTGTGTGTGTGTGTATAAATTTTATTACACTTTTATTTGTGGGGGAGGGCAGTACATATGCCATAGCACACATGTGAAGTCAGAAGACAGCTTGGGGAGTTGGTTCTGTCCACCGTGTGTGTCCTGGAGATTAAACACAGGGTCTAGCCTGACAGCTGGTGCCATCATTCCCTGAGCCCTTTCTCCGGCCTCTTGGTGTATTTCTAACTGTTGGTAAATGCCCTCTTTGCTTACAGACAAACAAAATACATCCCTCTTCACCCTGAAATCTTACCAGTGGCCTTTGGTTAATTTAAATGAGCATCTTAAGCCAGATCTTTTTGTGCTTTTGTTTTGTAGTTCACGTTTGCCAAAATGTGGTTATATTATGCACAGTTTGAAATACGACAGAAAAATCTGCCATTTGCCAGAAGAGCTTTGGTAAGTAAAGGAGCAGCAGGTTCACTGTCTTAGGAGAAGGTTAAGATCTTCATGCTTACAATTGGAATGGTTCCTATTGAAAAAAGCCGCACGTACCAGTAAGGCCAGCCTTGCTTGGGCTACATAGCAAGACCTTGTCTTGAAAAAAATAATAAGGGGTGGGTGGCAACAGAAATGTATCTTTTATAGCCTGGGACATGTTAGAAAGCTGGTAGATAGTGCTTGGAGAGTAAGTGACTACTGAGTGCTCTTCTAAGAGGGACATAAACGTAACCCTTCTCCCTCCCTGCAAGGCTCAGAGACCGGTGAGGAAGAATAGGAACAGGAGGGTGGGGAGGAGGGTCCTGAAGTGTCTTCTGGACCTTGCCTGGCTGTTACACTCAAACTCAACAGCAGCAGTAGTGGCCTGCAGGGGATTTGTTCCAGGTGAAGCCCTCCAGCATGAAGGAGGGAGGGGCTCACGAGACTCCACCTCCAGCTGGGGAGCCATTGGCAGCTGGTGGCTGCTGAGGGGAAACAGTCATTTTTCTTCAAGGGTGTAGCCGCTGAAAGGTTGCCCATGCTCATGCATCAAAACTAACTGGACTCAGTGTAACAGGAAGGTGGGGAGAGCATCTAGGGGAGTGGGCGAGGGGAATTGGAGGTGGATATGATCAAGATACATTGTATATGTGTATGAAACTGTCAAGAGATACAAACAAAAACAATAATGCTTTCATTGTAAACATTCTACTTAAACACTGGAAATATCTATAGCTACCAGTTGCCAGATTAGGAGTCTGGAATTAGTAGTCTGATCTTGTGCAAAATTTTTGAAATATACCTTCCTCATAATTTGTCATAAAGTGTCTCAGTAGGATAAAATTGTGTATACACAGTTTTCCTTCAAATGAACTATTTGCTTCCTGTGGGTAGTATGTCAGGTTTGGTTACCTTTTTATTTAAAGGAAGTTTGTATGCTTAACACCATATTTTCTAGGGGATCCTGAAGGGTCTAAAATCCAATGGTTGTGTAATTCTGCAATATTGCCTGTGGCTGACCAGCCTCCATGTCATCTGTCATGTTTGACTCCAGCAGAAGGTAGCTTCTAGGACAGATTGACAGTGACTAAAATTAAACCCTAAGTATAACAATACTCTTGGCCATTTTATTCTTCAGGGGACTTCCATAGGCAAATGTCCAAAGAACAAGTTATTCAAAGGTTATATAGAACTGGAACTACAGCTTCGAGAATTTGACAGATGCCGGAAGCTTTATGAAAAGTTCTTGGAATTTGGACCTGAGAATTGTACCTCATGGATTAAGTTTGCAGAATTAGAGACAATCCTTGGTGATATTGATAGAGCCCGGGCAATCTATGAATTAGCCATCAGCCAGCCACGCTTAGACATGCCAGAGGTAAGGATCCCAAGTTGGATATATTTTAAATACTTATCAAGTATTCCCCCTATGACCCAACTAACCTATAGACTTTTCCACTAATTAGGATTCTTCTGTTTGTTGAATAGGAAAGTGGGCTAGGGGAGTGTCAGCAGCAGCCCCCACACAGCTGACAGGACAGGTTAAAGGGATGAGGTGGAGAAGGCTGGGTAAGGAAACAGCTGCAGCCTCCCCCGCCAAAATCTGGAACACAGGAAATGGGGGGTGAAGTACTGGCCCGCCTTTAGTAGTTAAGCCACAAGGTGGCACTGAACCATAGCTAGGACTGATTGGAGTCTCCCAGGAGCCACAGAACTCTCTGAGCCTCTGGTCAGTCTTGTACTAACATGACCCTGTCAGGGCAGAGCTTCCTGGACTGCTGCTAGCACCTGTCCTCCGTCCTCCAGTAGACTGCCAGCTCCAGTGTCCGGGCCCCTGTCTGTGGTGGGCAGTTAATAGTTTTTGAACTCAAATAACAAGAAATTGGCACTGGGGTTAGGAATCTGGTTTATTTTCTCCCTAAAAGGGAACTGCATGTAACAAGATCAGGAAAGTACCTGGAATTCTTGACAAATTTTGGTTGTGTTGAACATTTGAATAACTCTAAAAGAAATGTAAAACTAAATCCAAAGCCTTTTTTTCTCTTCAGTTCTAATCACATTTTGGCAAGCTTGTAAATGCTGTATTATTTCATCCACATGCTGCCTTAACTATTGAGTGAAAGTCTTAGGTTCTTGGATGTAGGTCAGGATGGTTGAACCATAGGGGCATGTGGTATGGTGGTATTGTGTTCCCCAAAATATTGTGTACTCTAATAAATTTATCTGGGGTCAGAGAACAGACAACCACTAGATACAAAGGCTAGAAAATGGTGGCACTCACACCTTTAATCCTAGCATTCCAGAGATAGAAATCCCTCTGGATCTCTGTGAGTTCAAGG